ACTCGATAATTCTGCAACGGTTCAACATATCTTATTGAAATTTGGCACAGATATAAAACAAAGTCTGGAGTACACATGGGATAAGGTTCATTCCCGAGAAATGTCCGGTTCCCGAGGGATACGTAACTTTTTGTAATTGATATAGTTTGTATGTTTTCTAATACCACGCGGACGAAGTCGCGGGCAACAGCTCGTTATCAATAAGTGTCATTGCATTGGGTAATATTAAAAAAAAAATGGCTTATATTACTTATAGATAGATTACCTTTCTAACGGTGAAAGAACTTTTAAAACGTCCCAGTAGTTTAGTTACTTCAATACAAAAATACAAATCTTTCCTCTTAATAATAGTAGTAAAGATTTACATTTTATTTTGTGACATTGTTTAGTTTTTACAACAATAGATGGAGCTTATTATAATTTAGTAAAATGTCAATACAAGGACACGAGGCACTAAACTTGATACATATTACCTATCAGAGAAATTACCGGTCAACAAAATTTTGTTCACTATGCCTAGTGTATAAAAGCTAAAGTTTAGATGGATGGATGTTTGTTAGAGTTATTTGGTATAGATGTAGAGGATAGTTTGGAAGAACACATACTTTTTACAAAGCTGGTATTTATTAAATGTCTTTGGAATTGTAAGAAAAGCCTTTTTATACAGTTACCTGTAAAAATTCTGGGGTCTGACTGATAAGATGTGGGCGACAGAGGTCGACCGGGTTGCCGATGGTGTGCAGGACGCGGTACCAGGTCTGCATCACCGCCTCCGCGCTCATCTCCGCCGGCACCAGGTTCGCGTCCTCCTCGCCTGGTGCATTGGAACAAACGACATAGATTATCTATCTATACTATTATAATAACGCGTAAACACACTTTTTTACGTATGTCAGAAATCATTGTATGCGTTTTGAATAACTATTTTTTTTATACAAAAGCCGTACATCTAGACACGTTTTAGGTTATATATTTTTACACACTTTTTACTCTTTACTTTAGAGGTAAATAATTTGGAACAAAATCGCCATGCAGGAATAGGGCAAAAATTACAAGCCAATAGCAGTAAAGCAAGGAAACGCTTATTGTAAGCCAACGTCAAAGACCTTTTTATCATTTTATCATACATATATAAACAATAAAATAACTTTTTATAATTTCATACGGATGAAGCCGTACGGGAATAGCTCGTACCTAATAAAAGAAGGTAATTGATTATAAGAAAATTCAACAGCAAATTGACATTTGAACAGAACAATTTACCACAGAAAAAGATAAATTTAAACTGAAACATAATAATTGCAGATCAATGTACTCAATATTGACTAGCTTAATATTAAATCCGACTCGAAGGACCATCGGCGGACTATTTTCATTGTATAAAAGTGCGAGTTACCGATAGGCATTGCGGGGAACATGGGCCCGTACATGTGCGCGAGCAAGCGCGCCGTGAGGCAGAGCGAGGCGCGCGCCCACTGCTCCGCCAGCGGCGCGCGGTGCCGCCAGCGCACGCACTGCTCGCGCAGCGTGCGCCACAGCGCCGGCGACGGGAAACATCTCACACAAACACATCACTCTTATTTTTAAACACATCTTTACTAATATTAGAAATAGGAAAGATTTGTATTCGTGTATGTATTGAAATAAATCAAAAACTATATGACCGATTTCAATACTTTCACCATTAAAAAAGCTACGTTATCAGTGAGTAACATGGACTACTATTTTATAATTTGACGCATTTCGTCAGTAATGATCGCAAAGTCAGAAATAAAACTGGCCTACCTATGTATTTATTTTTTTCGATATTTCTAGCGACATCGCTTATCATTATGTCTATCTGGGGGACAGTTTATTTGAATTCCACAATTTAAAAATAAAGTCAATCAAAACCAAGTGCATCAGAAACACATTAAAAAATTATTTTAGTAAATTAAATACTGTGAATGTACATATTTTATTATTGCAACTCCCTAAAGGCAAAATACCTATGACAAGCCAGTATCCAGACTTCAAATAGCACGCACAGCACTCGCTCGCAGAGCTGCTCCGCGCCGTGGTGGGGGGCGGGGGGCGCCAGCAGCGCAGCGGCGGCCGCCAGCAGGAGCAGTAGCAGCGAGCGCCACTCGCGCGGCCCCAGCGCCCCGCTGTCCGCCAGCGACCGTGCCAGCCGCAGCACGCGATGGCACAGCACCGCCTGCTTGCTGATCAAATCTGCACCTACATGCACATAATAACTCAAAAAACATCGGTTATCACTAATTAGACTTTAAGAGCGCATCTTTGACTAAACTATAGCATATTTAGTCACACTTTGATTGCTATGAGCGTATATGGAGGTACACACACTACTTGATACTCTGAAACTGCATAGGAATGATCAATGCAATTAGAGCTTGTCCCACGACTGACTGATAGAGGCTCAGATAGGTTAAAAATGACGTCACTGTCAGATGAGGTAATAAAATCCATCACTTATTGTTATTAATTTACAATTTAGTGGGACAGGCCCTTAACAAAGCAAATCAGCGTTTTCTTATATCTAATCCCTAGTATTTACTTCCAACTTACCTATTTCCATTTGATAGATGAATGAGAGTGCTTGTAAAAGAATTATACAGCTCAGCCCTTTTTTATTCAACAATGACTAAAAATAACCCTAGTTCAATTAAACTATGTGTATTAAGCTATGTTATTAAAGTGAAATATTGCCTATTCTAAAAATAACTTACTGTCATCAGCTCTCGGAATGAAGAGGTTATGTAAATGGCTGAGTATCTTAGAGGCGTATCGTTTAGGATCCGCAGCTAGGGGCGGCGGGATGGCGGGCTGCGGGGGCTGCGACGCCGGCGCAGGGGGCAGCAGTGCGCCGAGCCACGCATGACACACGTACACACACGCGCGTAATGCTTCATGTTCAGTTAACGGTAGAGATAGACCATAACGCAAAACCTCTAGCACCCATTCAACCTAAAAAAGCATATATTTATTTATTTAAACTCATCCTTTCTTAGTTTTAAACGTTGGAGAGCGAAAAGAGTTCTGTAAGAAAGAAAGCAGTGGAAGAGTTTGGTGGAGGCACATACCAAGAGGCACGCTGAAATTTGGCACATATTAAACTCACCTATTTGTGACACCATATCTAATTTCAGAATAAAAGGCTATATTATTATTAGTTGTAAATGTAGTTAGCAATATTTTTACCATAGACAATCTACACTTTTGTCATAAATACTAATAAACTCTATAATATTAAAATACCTCAGTGTCAGTAGTCAATGGACTTGGCTGATGGCTGGCTAGCTGTTTGACGACAGCAAGCACGACATCGCGGCCGCCGACAGCACCCAGCACACCTTGCCCACCTCCTTCCAGTGGCAGTGAGCTCCATTCTGAATACATACCCTCACTGTCCTTGCTCTGCAAATAGTGTTGGATACAATTGGTGGTAAATGCAAATAATCTAGTTTAATTTTTAACTAAAAGATTTTGCTTAAATAAACCCTTAATTTAATAAAGTTTTTGTAGCCAAAAAAGAAAAATTATAAAACACTAAAATCAAAATCTAGCAGATTTTTCTCTAAACTAGTTCAGTAGATTAAGGTAGCACCATTTTTCGTAGATTGCCTGTGGTTGGTTATATATTACTTTACAAACTGTTTTTAGTGGGAGTGTTCGTTATCAGTGAAAATCACAAGTTCATATTTCATGTTTTTAATGACTAGTGAATCATCTGCTATAATTAAATTTTTCCGCTGATGGCGCCAATTTCATACTCTATAAGAGAAAACTAAATTGAATATTTGTTTTTGGTCCAAAGACAGTACAAAAGAGACATTTAATAAAACATTTCTGCTTTTTTCTACACTTATAATAACTAGAAGAAAACTTAAATAATTCAATGATGTTAATACAAAAATATTATTTTGATTTTTACCTTAAAATTAACTCTGTTGAAAATTCCCACATTCATAAATAAAGAATACCTAACGGTACCAAGCTCGCGAATACGAAGATTCTGTTTAATAGCACTTCTATTGGAACGCCTTGGATCGCCAACACATTAAAGAACTTTGTTTTTACTTTGGATTAATTTTTCATCGAGTTACTTCTTACTACTCTACTTTCTTATAATCCAAGAAAATCTAAACAAAACAAATAAGCCACGGTATTGATAATTTTGACATTCGATGTCAATGTCACTTTGAAGTATCATATGTCATCAATGGCTTTCAGCTTTCAGTTCAAAAAGATGAAGACCACTGATAGTGTTTTTGAGTAGCACAAGTTATGAATTTGGTGTTTCCCGCTCCACAATTTTACCATCTTGTATATCTTGTATTTATGGTAGGGAAATACACACTAGGTAGAATGTGTTATTAATCTTCGATAAGCATGTTGAATTCACAGAATATACCATATTTATTCTTCGATTATGTTCATTACCGTTACACAGTTCTAGTACTGGTATGTTCTACACTAAATCTCTTTCTCAAATAAATAAACATGATTTGCATAAATTACTTTATTAGCTCAAACGACATAGATATCACAAATTTTCAACATTTAATGTTTTGTTATTAAGCTTTACAAACAAGAATAAATCTAACATACTTCATGTCTTATAACCTAGATGGAGAAAGATTTTTTTTAAAATTGTATGTGAAAATACCATTTAGTAATAACCATCATTGTCTTAAAAAAAGGTAAAAAAACACTTAGACAGCCACTGAAAAAGCAAAATAACAGACTAGATTATTATAAACATATAAAAATATTTTAAATTTTTGACAGTGTACATAGAAAATAAGTACATACTACACTTTTTAATTATAATTCGAAAATAGTTAGAAAACAATACCTTTTATCAAACTTAAATCCCAATTTTTGCTAATAACTAAGATTTATATAAATTATACAAATAAGCCAAAATATCTTCAAATAACATAATCAGTCTCAAGATTTTAAAAAGTTTGTTTTAAATGCTTGAATAAAATAATTTCAACATATACAATTAAATACTACATTATTGCAGCCAAATATACAATGAAATGTTTTGTTCCTTACAAAAACTTGTTTTAAAATGCAGTAGAAAATACATGTTATTATGGAAGTTACTACATGGGTTAATATCATTAATATAGATTTATAGAAGCTTTGTAAAATCAGTATTTTTTACTTCAGTTACGTAATTATGCAGCATCTTTTAGTAATTTTAATACCACATAATACATTTTATTATAGTTTATTCATCGCCTTTTCCACTCGAAGTTTCTAGTTGTTCATATTTAAGTCTCCATTTAGTTGCCTCTTCTTCCAATTCTTTTGTTTTCAATTTCTCTTCTTCCAGCAAATTCTCAGTAACTTCCAGAACATTCTTTATTTCTTTATAATTTTGAGCTTCTGCGAGCTGATTATCATTGTCAAGCAAAGCCTTTTTAGCTTGACTCACAGTCTCTTCCGCTTGTTTGATAATTTTTTCTGCCTTTTGTTCAAGCTCATATTGAATTATCAACATTGTAACTAAGCGTTTGATGACAAATGCTAGAAATATAGCAAAACTTGTAATGTAAAAGTTCCTTTGAGCGCGGAACAGTTTTACATGACTTTTCATTTCTGTTGATAAATGTGATGGTAATGGTTCAGAATTGTTTGAATATTTTCTCATTTCTCTGATAGCGTCCATTAAGAATAATGTCAAAACGCCTAGAAATGCATAGAAGTACAATGCGGCATGATGTTGGAACATTGCGAAGAGACTTGACCTGAAAAACTGATGCCATCGCCGCGGACTGAATATCGGTAATATCATAATGATGACAACAGCAATTTCAAAATATAAATAACCAGCAATAAATGTCCACTGCAAAGACATTATCACAAAATTGCAAACCGGAAAGACTTCGATACAAATTTCACTAAACACTTTCTAGATTTAGCTAATATTTTGAAGATTTGAAATACAATATAACCGTAGTTCACTTCTCTATACTCCCAGAACAATTCTTTTTTTTCCACTTCATAAATTCACAGCAATATCAAATTTCACCGAACATAAAATGTGAATTCACCAAAAAATATGCTTAAAAACAAAGTTTTTGTATAAATTATTAAGAACCTTATTCCTTTTCCTTAAAGATTAAAATTGTATGACAAGAAATGTATTCTATCATCTGAGTCACAGCTGTCAACTTGACATAGCTTGAGTCTTTTGGACAGATACTATATTTGTCTTTAACTAATTGGTCCACGTTTTAAAATAGAACTCAATCGGAATCGGTTTTCACACTTTCTTTTTGAACTAAAGACATAAAGTTGATGCAATTTTAATAATGTAATAACTCGATAACAAAAGTTGTTATTTTGTTAAAACACATCATTCAATATTGATTACCAGCGAAAAGTTTTTCTTAATAACGTAACTGAACTTTGTTCGTTCATGTTAACCATGATTTCTACTCTACGAAAAAAGTTACATTTTGTCTATGAATTGCAAAAATCTAAAAAAATGTCAAGTTGTGCAATTTCTGTAAAATAAAAATTTAATTGTTTATTTATAGTGATAATGAGTAATATACAATTAGATATATGGCGTGGTGAGTGGGGCTTAGCATCTATAGATTTAGAATGTCTAAAAGTTTTGGTAAGTATAATTCATTAATAACCTATCCTGGTACTTTAACCCGGCAAATTGATTTTAGCTAAATCAAATATTCATTACAGACCTATATGAAATTTATCGGTGTTCCTGTTAAAGTTCACGAAGCGAACAATCCATATTTCGCACCAAAAGGTCGGCTTCCTGTTATGAGAGATGGTCGTCATGTTCTTACAACATTTGAAGAAGTCGTTGATCATTTGAAGTCATTAGTAAGTAACGAATCTAATTACGACCTTAAAAAAAAGTTACAATATTTAACAGTGGTAGAGCTCGCTTTAACAAATTCGCACGAATGGGTCGGCTCGCCCGGTAAAAACCACGACCACACAGAAAACAGGCGTGAAGTGGAAGCAATTCCGCGTTTTGTCTGATGAGTGTGGTGCCGGAGGCCTAATTTTTAGTCACTTTCCCTTTCCATTGTTTTCTTAAGTGGAGAGGATGGGAAGGAAAAGTGGATTTGATGGTGGAGGAGATGCATAGGAAGGGAAAATGTCCTCTTTATGTGCGACTCCTCCTCCGTCAATTAAGGATAGGAATCGCAATTGCGGATGTTTATAGGTAGCGGTCACTTTCCATTTCTGTGAATTCAGGTGGCCGCTTGTTCGCTTTCCACCTTATATTATAAAAAAAACATAGCTTGTAATATAGAGATATCTTGACAATCCACATCTTCAAGTTACATTTACTTGTTGAGAACATGTAGTGTTTGATACATTTTATTTATTTTCTTCAGCATTACAGTACAGATGTTCATCTAAATACAAATCAAGCAGCTGAAGCGAGTGCATTCACACAGTACCTAAGGGAAAAGCTGTATCCAGCGTATGAGTATGCATGGTGGGTAGATGAAAAGAACTACACTGAGCTCACTCGGCCAGCTTACGCAAAAGCGTTACGAATACCCTTCAACTTTTATTATCCTGGAAAGTATCAAAATGTGGCAAAGGAAATGATTGATGCATTATACGGAGAGCATACTGATCTGAAAGAGATTGAAAAGACTGTAAGTATTAAGTTATTTAATACTCATCATCTCCCCTGCCTTATCCTACTCCCGTAGGGTCATGCACCGGGTTTTCGTCCTCCAAATAACTGTATCTTCTGTCATCTCAGTCATCACTCCGTTCTTGATCATGTCACCTTTCACGCAATCCATCCATCTATACCTCTACCGGTGTACCTCAACTTTCATAACTAACATCTGTCTTGTTCAGTATTAAGTAATTTAATACTGATATAAAAAAATGTCTGATATTTTATTATTGTCATTGTCGTTGATAATATTTACATTTGTATAGCATCCTTTATGGCAGGAAATTAAATGTTTCCTGAGCGTACAATGGTTAGAAACCTATGTTTTAATTATTTTTTAGTTAATTCTAAAAAAATCATTGAAGTTTCTGAATGTGAAAGTAGTAGTAGTAGTAGGAGTAAGTCAACAACAGTATATTATTATTTAATTAATTTAATTCTTTTCCAGATATACCAAGAAGCGGAAAAATGTCTGGCAACTCTGTCTGATCGTTTAGGAGAGAGTGAATACTTCTTTGGCAACCGGCCGTCTTCATTTGATGCTGTAGTGTTTGCATATCTAGCACCATTAGTCAAAGCTCCGTTCCCTAACAGTACTCTCGGAAACCATGTGAAAGGCATTCCAAATCTGACCAGGTTTGTTGGGAGAATTAATCAGAAGAACTTCAGACAGGTTACTGATGGTATGTATTTTACTTTTACATACTCAAATTCCTAAAAAAAACAAACTATGTTTTGTTTCAATATTACAGTTTTTTTATTGTTATTGAGATAGGGTTTCTTATAATAATGGCTAAGTAACATTCACATTGTTTAAGTTTTGATGGATAGGTGTTAGTTAAAAGTTATCTCCAGAATGACCCCAAGGATTTCGATGTATTTTGGCACAGATGTTGAACATAGTATAGAAGAACTAGGACTACTGTTATTTTTTTTCAATAAAGTTAAATGATTCTTAACAGAATACAACAGTCAGAACAGCAAGAAGCAATCGACAGGTACTCAGGCGGACCGCGCGGCCGCCAACTTCCCGCACCAGACGCGCAACAAGATCCTCGCCGCCATCTTTGCAGCATTCGCTATGACTGGATATGCCTTTGCCAGCGGGATGTTTCAGGTCAGTACAAAAGCATTTATCTTATGTTTATAGTTGAACTTTGTAGCATTTTTGGTAACAAAGTATACATTTTAGTAAGTGTGGTTGGTTGTTGCTTTTTATTTAGTTTTAATTGCTTTTTTTTAAATCAATATTCTGTATTTTTAGCTGTAATTTTGTCCCTTTGAAAATAATAGGCACAGAGTTGTATTCTTATTCATTCTCACGATATATCTCTTTTTATTCAGGAGTTGAAAGATTTTGAACATTCCCGAGATTACAGCGAGATGTTTGAGAATGAAGAAGATGACAACTGAGCCGCGCGTCGCGTGACGTCATCCAGTGACAGACAATTTCTTGTGACGGATGTGAAGCTGTCATGGCGGCAGTTTTTACGCGCCGATAATTGTTTATTCTCGTAAAAAGTGGATTAAAAGCAGTGTTTTTGTTTAAAAGTTAAATTTTCGTTGCAAATGTTTAGTGTAATTCATGCATTTATTAATTCATAACTGATTTGAGTATTCAATATTGTTTTTTTTAAATGTACATTGTTTCCATAACATATTTTGTTCTAAAAATTTATCACTTTAAGTACATATTGTTTGTACAATGGATGTTCTTTATGATTTTTTTAATTTGCCATTATTTATAACTACCATAGAGTACGAACATATTTTGTCTATGGTTCACTGCTGTCATAGAGTAAAGATTTGTGCATTTATTTTATGTTTAGCCGCAAAAAACAGCTCAATGTCCTTAATGATAGTGTAGCTTTTAGTTAGAAACAGTATATTAGTTTGTGAATTGAATGTAATATTTTAATGGTAAAAAAGACTAGAAAGTTGTTTTTGTGGTTGGTGCTTGTACTGTACATGCAGAACTGGTTGTTTTGTTTGAAATTACTAAATGGTGATTGAATAAAGATGTTTTGTTGATTGAATTTTATTATTTATTTAATTCCAAAAAGTAATTCTATATCCTTATATGAAATTATTAAACTTCTTTGTTTTAAAAAATGTCTACGGACGATAATTTTACGCGATAACATCATTAGGAGAATGGTTAGGATCTTGCTTCTTTGTCACTTGTACGTCGCTCTCGCTCGCACGCTTTGCTTAGAGTTTCATACATTTTGGTATTACCAGCCTTCACAAGATTTATAAGTAGTAATCAGGTTAAAATATGATTAAAATTGCATAAGTAAAGAAATTATGAAAATCCATTTCGTGCTCGAATGGATGAATCTAGCTCCAGTTTAACGTTGGTTATGTTTTGAGATATTTTTATGTTTTAGCGTTTATCAACATGGAGTTGGGAGAGAACTGTGTTGCTGAACAAATACCGTATCGTGAAGAAACACATACAAAAAATGAAAAGACTACAAGTGGAAAGAGAGCAAGAGAAGAAACCTATTTAAATAACAACTTTTGGTATTCTGTTGAAAACGTTTAAAACAAGAGATATAATTACCTAAGGTCGGACATATATGTAATACCGACTAGCGGTACTATACACGGACCGTAGTTTATTGAGCCGTGTATGTCCACCTTTAGTTCTTTAGCATTCCCTTAAGAAAAAAGTCACAAGGGTCGATAATTTCGCTTACTTATGTTTAATGTAAATAAATGTAGAATTAATTTTTAATATAGTAAAAAAATATTATTGGTTTAATTTGCTGTTTTTTAAGTTAGTATTAAAAGGGATAGGTTTAAATAAAAAAAATCACATAAAACTTGCGTAGATTTAATAGAATTCAATTGTTAAAATAACAAAATACTTAAACTAAGAGCTGTACAGCTCGTCTTCAGTCCACAGTTACTTATGTAACCATCGGAAGACAGCGTCCCTTTAATATTACATAAATTATTGTAGCTGCCTTATACAACATATTTTCACATAAGCAATAAGTTAATTTTGGTCCTAAGTAGCAACACTGCATTGTACAACATTCGTTATTAAGTAGACCATTTTTTATATAATTAATTTGATCAATACTAAGTACTACCCGAGCACAATAACATGAGATGACGTAATACAATATGTGGTTTATTTTAGGCAATAAAATTGCGGTCAAATTTTCAAATCTTGCTAATATTTAGATCTAAATAGACATAGATATTTTTTTTTAATTTATTGCAATTAGCAAAAAAAGTATATGAGAAATCCATTAGTCTAATTTTCGCCAATTCTAAATGCTAATAAACTACTAAGTAAGCTTCATTATAAATTATAAAGTAAGTCTATTAGGGGTTTTTAAAGTTCGAACACAAGTTAAACTAAACTCAAAAATCAACTTTTTATCAATATTATTATTTTTTTCTTGTTATATAGTATATAGTGTATACTTACTAGGGTAGTAATTTCAATCCAAATATAAACAAGATATGGAATCTGTTATTTTTTCATTGATCCCTTACATGTCTCATGTTATTGGGCCCGGGTTACATTTATTTTTGGCGTTCTTGGAATGAATTTTAAACTATCAACTAATTTTTAATGGCAACACTATTTGTCCTATCTTGAAACATTTTATCTAAAAAAAAACTGTTAAAAAAGGTGATATAAGACGATTAAAATTATTAACAACAAATCGGCTGTACACAAAATAAATGACTTAACTGTTTACGAAATGGTAACAATTTGTTATATATCTATTTAAATAAATACAATTACATTTATATAGCATTCAATAAATTCTTTTAATCCTTTCAAAAATATTTCATTCAAAAATAGTTACTTTTATAATCTGCCAATCTTTTTAAACGAGAGCAAAGACAATATGAATTACATCTGTCAACCATAGACAACTTTGACAGTTGACAGATGTCTTGACATTAAGATTTTTAAAGTTATTAACTAACATTCACTGGACAATAAATATAGTATAACTAATTTGTTCGCTCACACGGGCCAATCAATTCCTTAACAGGCATCATATTTACACAATAAATACAAACTAAACGCAATATATTAATTTCTTTTTAATACTCAAACGTGAGGCTACGAATTTGTTCTACGAAGCCTAAGCGATGCTCTTCGTTTGTATATAATATTTAGTCTGTACATTTCATCTCGTAGTAAAAAAGTCAGAATTTAATCTGTTTTTATATATACAGCAACCAATAATATAAATATCCTGAGTTGGGGGCATTTTAATCGCTTTTTATAAGGGTTAGGGGACACAGACCCCTTATCTAGCGACCCTCTTTTTCATTTTATAAAAGCAATGGAAATAATTCGCATTTTACAAAACCGCAAAGGTTTTTATATTCCAGGTAATGTTTAAAAATCAAGTACTATAAGTCTGGTATTTAATTACTTTTTTTCTATATATATTTCCAGTAAAAATGTACAGACTAACATAAATCCTAACACTAACAGCATAAGGTTCAAATTAATCAGGTGCATTCAACAAGGACTGTGAATCCAGCAGCTCACTGGCATCAATGAGGCTGACCTGCATGGAGTGCACATTCCTGGCCTCGTGCCGGCCCAGGCTGAAGGGGAAGAAGCGAGACCCCACCTCCACCTCCGCCTCCGGTACCTCCACCTCCGGCACCTCCTCGCACCTCCACATCCGATTGTTCATTATAGATAGAGATGATAGCTTCTCACTTAACTGTTGAATCTGTTAGAAAAACATGTTATTTTAGTCTATGGTATCAACGTAATCATAGATTACATCATAGTCATAAATACGACCATTCATAACCATAATAAAAGTGAGTAAAAATGTATCAAAATTATTGTGAGGTTAATTTATATGACTAGCTGTTCCCGTGTGACTTCATCCGCATAAAATTATTTTATTGTTTACATGTGTCAAATTTTCAATTGCCAATGTCAAAATAACATGACATGATTACAGACCATGGCAACTTTGCTTCTTTGATGTTGGCAGCAACTTTGGTCTCTTTCCCACATGAGGGTTTTTATCCAAAATATTTACCCCCTAAGTTATAGCCTAAAGTGTGACGTAAGTCTACACTTAAAAAAAGCCCTACGGCTTTTTATTAAAAAAATAATTATTCAAAAATATGCTGTAATTGCTTAAATCTTAGGCAACAGAGAAGTGTGTGTTTACGCTTTATTATAACGGTATAGAAGTATAGATTAACAAATATGTTCGCGCAATTTCAGTAAAAATTGTACGAAGTCCTTTTCACTTCGGTACTTCGAGGTAGTAGTGTATAGTTGAGGTGTATACCTGTGCTCTGAGCCGCCAGTGGTACG